GTGACCACAGGGACGCTGCAGCTGTCATACGTACACGCCAGTTGCCACACGTCCACATTTTGAACACGTGACTACGGAGACGCTGTAACTGTCATAAGTACATGCCAGTTGCCAAGCATCCAAATTTTGATCACGTGACCACGGGGATGCTGCGACGGTTGTTAAATGGGAAAACTGGTACAAGTGACTTTTTTCGGTACTGTTGTAACTTCAGACAGTCACTAAACGAAAGGTGGTAAGGCACCAGTGAGTTGCAAAAGGCGGCCTTACTAAGAACAGCTCCCATCCTGCAATGAGATCTGTAATACCATCAATTCAAACATGTCTGTGTGAATGAATGAGCATCCATTCATGAGCGTGCTCACCCACTGGCATTAAAACTTCAGTATCTTTTCCCAATTCTCATGTTCTGAAAAAAATTTACAGAACATAAATAATTATATTTTTGTGTCCCTCTGTAAGCCTGTATACTTTTGATCCTAATTGATACCCGGATAAATTCTAATTTCTTCGCCTTCGGCTATATTTTCTTTCTAAATGTTTTTGGAATGTGCACCCGTGCACTGCTCCCAAGGATTCTTACATGTGCCAAAGATGGTTGTCTTCCATATAACATGTAACATGGAGCTTGATTAATTGCTGTACTCCACAGTCTATTGACCAAATAATTGGCAGTTAAAATTGCCCCACCCCAATATAGTTTACTCATTCCTGCATCTTTCTAGCAATGCGTCTTTCATAGTCTGTAACACACCATGTCTGCGTTCAGCAACTCCATTCTCTGTCGGAATGTAGGGGTTCGTCTTTCTCTGGGTTTTGCCTCTCTTTCTCGGCTGAAACATGTTAGACATGAACTCGGTTCTTCTGTCTGTCTGTAGCTGACATACCCTTTGATTATACCTCCTCTCTACAAAAATTACCCATTGTTCAGTGGTTCTCAACCTTTTTAATGCCGCGACCCCAACCGGTCGTAAGTCGAGGACTAAACCGGTCATAAGTTGAGGACTAAACCGGTCATAAGTCGAGGATTAAACCGGTCGTAAGTCGAGGACTACCCAACCGGTCGTAAGTCGAGGACTTTCCCTGCCCGGGAGCGCCACGCATGTGTGGTTCCGCCCCCTGCGCCAGCCGAGGCGTAGCTGGCAAGCGGCAGAGACGGAGCAGGCCGACCACCTGGCCCAGCTCAAGGGAGGTAAGGCACCCGCCGGAAAAGGGGAAAAAAATGGCGGACAGCCTTGCTTGGCGACCCCCGTGAAATCGTCGATCGACCCCAAATGGGATCCCGACCCACAGGTTGAGAACCACTGGTTTAAACTGTTGAAACACTTCAGTTTTGCTTTTAAGTAAATAACCAAACCCGTATCTAGCGTTACCATCAACAATTAGCAAAGCAAATTGGGCCCCTCCCATTGATGGGATAGAGGGCCAATTAAATCCGCATGAAGTAACTGAAAAATTCTTTCAGATTTCCTATCACTTCTTTTGCTGACAGGGTGTACTTTTGATTTTGTCTCTTTGCAAGTAGCACAATCCAAACGGTCTTCACAATCTTTTACATTCAAACCGACAACCAAGTTTTTTGCAATACTTTAAAGCTTGCATGACCCAGCCTTCTGTGTAACGAATGTGCGCACCCGTCATGCTTCGGTTCATTAGGAAAGATTGTTTGCGCACTGCCACCAGTTTCCTTGTGGCTCAAAACATATTAATTGTTGAGTTTCAAACCTTGTGCACACAGCCTGTCATTCTTTATGGCCTTGCATGTACACTTTAATAATAATAATAATAATGATAAAGTTGGAAGGGACCTTGTAGGTCATCTAGTCCAACCCCCTGCTCAGGCAGGAAACCCTACACCATTTCGGACAAATGGCTGTCCAGTCTCTTCTTAAAAACTTCCACTGTTGGAGCATTCACCGCTTCTGGAGGCAGGTTGTTCCACTGGTTAATTGTTCTCACTGTCAGGAAGTTTCTCCTTAGTTCTAGGTTGCTTCTCTCCTGGATTAGTTTCCATCCATTGCTTCTTGTCCTGCCTTCAGGCGCTTTGGAGAATAGCTTGACTCCCTCTTCTTTGGGGCAGCCCCTGAGATACTGGAAGGCTGCTATCATGTCCCCCCTCGTCCTTCTCTTCATTAAACTAGACATACCCAATTCCTGCAACCGTTCTTCGTATGCTTTAGCCTCCAGTCCCCTGATCATCTTTGTTGCTCTTCTCTGTACTCTTTCTAGAGTCTCAGCATCTTTTTTACATCGTGGTGATGTATCTAACCCCACCAAAGCACCAGTCTGGAGCAGTGCTGGACTTTTGACTTGGTTGATGGAGCAGAATTGGTGCCATGAAGTCGAGGGATTCTAGTTCTGGAGAAAAGAGACGTGGGCCCTACTGGACTTGCATCTTTGCAACCAAGATCTTCTAGCCAGATTTTTTTCAGCTTGGCGGAGAGGAGGATGGGAGCATTTGAGTTCCTGGGCCCAAGGAAGGAACAGGCACATGTCCTTGAGGGAGCCGCCATTATGGTGTCCCATCTTCAGTGGTCAGTAAGGGCCACCAGGAAGCACCCAGGGAATTTGCTTCAGCTCCCCCTCCATGCATTGATGATGCCCTCCGCCCTCTGGGAATCGCAACCCATATATCGGAGGTTACTGAGGTTGAAAACCACTGGAGTTGAAATGCAGAGTCTCCCCCCCAGGAAAAACTCTGAATTAAAGGTGTTTCAGGACCCAACTAGGTAACATCATCAGTATGCATGAGGTGGGTCATGAAAAGTCTGCAAGTAAACGACCAAGCTAAGAAGCACCAACCCTCCTCCTTTCTGCAAATCCCTGGGTCTTTTCCTACTGCCCAGGCTAACAAGCATTGACAACACTAAACCTAGCGTGAGAATCAAGGTTATTGAGCCCAGAGCTGATAAAAGAATTGGCGGGCTGGAGAGCTGGAGAGGAAGCCCGTGTTTCAAGCTAATTGGGGAATGTGATTTATGACTGTGAATTGGAGGAGGGAATTGTGCTTTGATACTAGGTGCCCAGGGGAGGGGAATTCAGTTTTTGGCTTCGATTATGCAGTGCCGATGTTACGCTACTCGAATAAAAGATTCTTTTTAAGGTAAACAATGCCTTGAAGTTCTTTTGAAGGGTTTCCTCTGTCGGAACCAGGACACAAGCTGCTTAGGACCCTGAACTATTTCGGTCTTATCACCCCTCAAAGTGTGAGACACACAACATACACTAGGGCAGGGGTCTGCAACCTTAAACACTCAAAGAGCCACTTGGACCCGTTTCCCAGAGAAAACGCTGGGAGCCGCAAAACTTGTGCGCGCACGCAAGGGGCGGGGACCTTGATTGAAGAGTTTAATTAAAAAGAAATAAAGGCTACTGTGCATGAGTTCTCTCTCTCTCTCTCTCTTTTCCCTTTCTCTTTCCTCTCCCTCTTTTCCTCTCTTGCTCTTTTCTCTCCCTTTCTTTCCTCCCTTTTCTCTCTCCCTTTTTTTCACCCTCTTTCTCTCCCTTTCTCTTTCCTCTCTCTCTCCTCCCCCTCTCCCTCTCTCCAATCTTCTGCTCACCTGGCAAGCTGGCTTCAGGCTATTCTCCAACAAGCTGATACACATTATTGGGCTGGCTCTCTCCTGCCCTTCCTGTTTCCTGCAGAGATGCAGCAAAGGGAGGAGCCCCGCCCAATAAGCTTCTCAGCTCGTTGGAACAGTGTGAGGCCACTCTTTTTTACACACACACACACACACACACACAGAGAGAGAGAGAGAGAGCGAGAGAGAGGCAGTGCAAGTGCCTCTCTCTGTCTCTCTATCTGCAAATGGCAGGAGCGGGGAGCTGCAAAGAAGGCTCAAAGAGCCACATGTGGTTCCAGAGCCGCGGGTTGCTGACCCGTGCACTAGGGGGATTCAGATCTGAGCAAGATCTGTAGAAATGTAGAAGACTGCAAGTGGTTGCTGCAATAGCAGCAAGATTACACCGGGTCTCACATCCTGCACTGGCAGTCTAAAAGAATACAGGTAGTCCTGCTCTTATGACCACACTGGAGCTCAACATTTGTGTTGGTAGTGAGACATTTGTTAAGTGGCCCTTGTTGCCACAAGTGAATCACTTAACACTAACTTGTTAAGTTAGCAACAGGGTTGCTAAGAGAATCTGGCTTCCCCCTTTGAGTTTGCTGGCCAGAAGGTTGCAAAAGAGGATCACGGTGACGCCGGGACACTGTGCCCGTCGTAAATGCAAGACAGTTGCCCGGCGTCCAAATTTTCATCGCACGATGCCGCAACAGTCCTAAGTGTGGACATCGAGTTTTTCCAGCTCTCTTGTAACTTTGAACAGTCCCTCAACGGTTAAGTTGGGGACTCCCTGCCCTAATGCAGACTTAATGCCGCACGGATGTCCATGAGTCATAAAAGAGCCGAGGTTGCCTACCCCTGGTGACTCAGGAATTCTGGGGGTTGAAGTCCATGAGTCATAAAAGAGCCCAGGTTGCCTACCCCTGCTGACTCAGGAATTCTGGGAGTTGAAGTCCATGAGTCATAAAAGAGCCGAGGTTGCCTACCCCTGGTCGAGACAATACACACAGGTGTGGGGACGATCGAGTTAAGGTAGCACCTCAGGGTGCAAAGAGGGGCCCCAAGGCAGCCTCGGGGGGGGGGCTACCGGCCCTCTCGCTGGGCAGACGTAGTGGCGATGCTTGCAGCTGCCTCCTCTCCAGAGGTGGGCACTGCCAGGGGGTGGGTCGTGATGGAGCTGGGGCCGAGCAGGGCAGGGGTGTCCAAGAGTGGTCCGACCCGACGGGCTGGCAGGGGAAGGGGCAGTGATTTCCGGCCCCTTCCTTGACGGGGGACTCTCGACAGACAGGCAAGACACCAGCGCGTGCCGTATTTTCTAGTTTTATATACAGAATACAGGAAAAAAGTTTCCGTAAAAGCTAAAACATTGCAATTACTTCTGTACATTAGAACTTAGCTGCTGAGAGAACAGGATGGGTGGGGTGGGGTGGAGGGTGGGGTGGAGGGAGGGGGAAGCATTGGAACAAAAGGGTGAAAAAACAGGGTCACGACAAAAAACGCTTTGCTACAATTAAGACAACCGGAGGCAACGTCATACCACATGTACCACTGTACACAGCTTTAAAAAACATTGAAAAATGCCGTCAGTTGATGTATTTACACAGCGCCCAAAATACTTCTCGTCATCGGAAAACGGGGTGGGGGGACAGGGGGTGGAGGAAGGAACGATGCCAGGGGGGGTAGACCTTGACTCTCCCTGCCCAGGAGGGGAAGAGGCAGAGGATGTGGGCATGGGGGACACACAAAAAAACACCGGCATGGGGTGTGTGGCTGGGAGGGGGGGGGAGAAGAGTGCATCTTTACATTAAATAAAACAATGATAGTTGTATAGATTTTGCGGTATGAAAACTGTATTTCTCTCTTTTTTTTTCAATATAAAAACTATTGTCACTGGCACAAAATAGAACAAGTTTTGTTTTTTTTTCGATTATTTTTACAACGGCGAGGGAGCGCTTGCCGTGGGGCCGCGACACCCCCCCCGGCCGCCATCCCCCCCCACCTCCGGCCAGCACGGCCTCCGCAGGTGGCAGAATCCTGTGGTTTTTTTTTTTTCCTTTTTTTCTTTTTTGTCTTTTAAATGAAATGTATAGTACAAATATATGTGCAAATGCCCCTAAAACTTGAGCAAACCATAAAAAAAAATTCTTTTTTTTTAAAGTTCTTCATTTCATGCAAAGGGCGTCCAAAGTCTGCGGCCCCCCAAGTAGGAAAGAGGAAAAAAAATAATAATAATAACGCGGACAGACGTGGCCGGCGTGTGTCTCTGATGCAGGGGAGAAGAGGGGAGGGGCTTCTCCCCCCCCAGCCACGCCCCACGGCTCCTATGGCACTGAATTGGACCGGAGCACGGGGGCCTGGTGGCCCTTGGGGGTCAGCTTGTCCTCCAGGTCCGTCCCCTGGGCCAAGGCCGAGGCGTCCACCTTGGGCGGTTTGGTCGCAAACTCCGTGATGCTGAAGACGAACTGCAGGCAGCCCAGCTTGATGTAGCTGCCGTGGTGCAGGAGGGCCGTGCCCTCCCAGCCCGCCCCGCTGCCCCCGATCAGGCTGGAGCTGCTGGCTCTGCAGCTGCAGGGGGGCTGAGGCTGGCCCTGGGCCTGGGCACGCATGGCGACGGGCTCCGCGCTGGCCGGCGGGGCGGGCGGTTCTTCCTCCGGCGGCTTCCGGCTCTTGTGGCGCTCTGCAGAGGGAGAAGAGGCAGAGGATGGAGGCCAAGGGGGAGACAGAGGCGGGCGCCCCGGAACCGCCCCCGCTTTGCCCCTCCCCCTTTAGTTGCAAGGGGTCCTCGCCTTACGGCCGCAACGGAGCCCAAGGTTGCTCACGGGCGTGCTGAGAGGGGCGGCCAATACGTTTTCCAAATAATAAAATATAAAATAAAATAAAATAAATAAAATAAATAATAAAATAAAATAAAATAGTAAAGTGAAACAAAATACACTAATGGAATAAACAAAATGGAAACTGACCAAGGAGAGAAGCAACCTGGAACTAAGGAGAAACTTCCTGACAGTGAGAACAATTAACCAGTGGAACAGTCTGCCACTAGAAGTTGTGGGTGCTCCAACACTGGAGATTTTTAACAAGAGATTGGACAGCCATTTGTCCGAAATGGTATAGGGTTTCCTGCCTGAGCAGGGGGTTAGACTAGATGACCTCCAAGGCCCCTTCCAAAATTATTATTATTATTAAGAACCTGCCTCCAGAAGCGGTGAATGCTCCAACACTGGAAGTTTTTAAGAAGAGGCTGGACGGCCATTTGTCCGAAATGGTATAGGGTTTCCTGCCTGAGCAGGGGGTTAGACTAGATGACCTCCAAGGCCCCTTCCAAAATTATTATTATTATTAAGAACCTGCCTCCAGAAGCGGTGAATGCTCCAACACTGGAAGTTTTTAAGAAGAGGCTGGACGGCCATTTGTCTGAAATGGTATAGGGTTTCCTGCCTGAGCAGGGGGTTGGACTAGATGACCTCCAAGGTCCCTTCCAACTTTATTATTATTTTTATTATTTTTATTATTAAAATAAAATAAAACAAAACAAGTAAAAATTAAAGTGACACAAGATAAAAAATTATATGATAAAATAAAAAAATAAAATAAAAAAAGGAAAAATAAAGAAAATTACATTAAAAAAGTAAAATTAAAACAACATAAAACCATAAAACAAAACCTGCCACTGCCAAGCAAGACAGCGGCTGAGTGAACCGTGCCCCGTTTTACGATGTTTTTGCCACAATTGTTAAGCGAATCACCGCAGCTGTCAGTCATTAAATGAATCTGTCATTAAGTGAATCTGTCATTAAGGGAAGACTTGTTATCTTAATCGGGCTTTCCATAATCTTTGCTTGTTGGAAACTGGCTGGAAGAGCCTCAAATGGGGGTCACACAATCCCAGGATGCTGCAACTGTCATAAATACGAGTCAGTAGCAGAGCATCATAATTTTGATCACGTGGACACGGGGAGGCTGCAACGGTCGTAAGTGTGAAAAATGGTCACTTTTTTCAATGTTGTGTAACTTTGAACAATCACTAAATCAGGGCTATCCAAACTTGGCCACTTTAAGGCTGGTGGACTTCAACTCCCAGAATTCCTCAGCCAGGCTGGCTGAGGAATTCTGGGAGTTGAAGTCCACCAGCCTTAAGGTGGCCGAGTTCAGAGACCCCGCCGCTAAATGGACGGTCGTAAGCCGAGGGCTGCCTGATTGCAAACTCAATCACGCTTCAAAATTAGCTGCAATCGGCACTACAGTCAGTCCTTGATTTGCAACTGTTCATTTAGTGACCGTTTGAAACTAGCGACTTACGGCCGTTCTTCACACGACGGTTGCAGCGTCCCCAGGGTCAAAATCTGGACCCTTGGCGACTGACTCCTATTTACGACAGTTGCTGTGTCCTGAAGTCACGCGATCCCGTTTTGCGACCTTCTGACCAGCAAATGGGGAAGCAGGATTCGCTTAACGACCATGTGACTCACTTAACCGCTGCAGGGATCCGCTTAACAACGGTGGCTAGAAATGGAGCAAAATTCACTTAACAAATATGTCACTCCAGCGACAGAAATTTGGGGCTCAGTTGTGGTCGTAAGTTGAGGACTATCTGTATTTTTTTAAATCACCTTTGGGGGATCCTCCTAGAATGGAGAAGTGGATTTAAAGACACCCCCGCCCCCCCATTCCTGTGGTTGAAGAGAGGCCCCAGCCTTTCCTCCTGTGTGAAATTTGCCTTAATGCCTTGACAACGAGGCCTTGCCTACACATTACACACAGACAGACACAACTGTTGCGAGCCTCACCAAGGAAGATTTGTGTGTCAGAAAGAACTAGGAGGAAGCAGAAGTGAATTCAAGAGGCTATCTCCAGAGAGAGATGCCCATAAAAGACTAACCCCATGGAGGGGGGGGGGACAGGGGAGGGTCAGCACTGAGACTATGGGAGGGGTTTTCCCCCAGGGCTGGGGGGGGGGAAGGGGCAAGGGCTTAAGGAGACCCACTTCTCTGGGTCCAGGCTAATGGGGGGGGGGGGTTACGGGGACTTCAAGTCATAAATCTCCAAAGACCGGGCAGTCTGCATCTTTACAATTCCAAGGAAATTTGAGGCTGCAGCCTACTGGCCACTGGGATGCGGGATAGGCTGGCCAGTGTGTGCACGTGGGTGCACACACTCATCTCCACTTGTGATAGTGCCATGGCTGCACGGCCTAAACTGGGCACCGCACTGCCTAAACGAGGCTCCACCCGGCCTAAACGGGGCTCCGCACAATCTAAACGGGGTTCCCCACGGCCTAAACGGGACTCCACATGGCCTAAACGGGGTTCCCCACGGCCTAAACGGGACTCCACATGGCCTAAACGGGACACCGCACGGCCTAAACGGGACTCCACACGGCCTAAACTGGGCTCTGGACAGCCTAAACATGGCTCCGCCTGGCCTAAACAGGGTGCCGCGCAGCCTAAACAGGGCAGGGCTAGCGAGTGTCACGGCACTAGCGCTGCCTCGTCTGCGTCGTGTGTGTGCTCGTGGCCCCGTTTGCATCTCTGTGTGCATTAAATGCTTCCCCTTTCTTTTTCCTCCGGTGTGGCCACCGAGAAAGGTTGGGGAACTCTGGGCCAGACAGCGCTTTTTGTAGGTTAAAAAGAAAAGCATTTGGGGGGCTGAGAACGCCAATTATTTATAGCAGGGGTAGTCAACCTTGGCTCTTTTATGACTCGTGGACTTCAACTCCCAGAATTCCTGAGCCAGCCATGCTGAGGAGAATTTGGAGAGGTTTCCATGCTGAGCCATGCTGGCTGAGGAATTCTGGGAGTTGAAGTCCACGAGTCATAAAAGAGCCAAGGTTGACTACCCCTGATTTATAGAGTGAGATGGGTGGTGTACCAATTCGATCAATCGATTGATCAATCGCTTTGGCCTCAACAGCAACAACCACCACAAAAATAAACAGGAGGAGCCAGCATCCTTCGTGCAGACTGCCAATTTTATTAACCAACAAATGAGGCCTCCTGCCCACACTTGTTCTTGGGTGTCTACAACTGCCGTCTCACAAAGAGGAGTAGCAAGGTGTCAGGCACAGAGTCCTCGACTTACAACCGTTCGTTTAGGGACCGTCTGAAGTTACAACGGCACTGAAAAAGGACCGATTTTCACCCTTACGACCGATGCAGCCTCCCCGTGGTCATGTGATCCAAATCCAGACGCTGGGCAACTGGCATGTACTTAGGACGGTTGCAATGTCCCGGGGCCACGCGATCCCCTTTTGCGACCATCCGACAAGCAAAGCCAATGGGGAAGCCGGATTCACTTAACGACCGTGTGGCTCACTTAACCGCTGCAGGGATTCACTTAACAGCCACGGCGAGAAAGGTCATAAAATGGAGGAAACTCACTTAACAACTGGCTTGCTTAGCCACAGACAGGTTGGGCTCAACTGTGGTCGTAGATCAAGGACTCTGTAACTCAGCAAACATCCCTAATCGTCCGTCCCTGTCAATTGTGGTCGTTAAGTCGAGGACTCCCTGTAACTGAAGGCAGCAAACTTCCCTAATCCTCCGTCCCTCTCCTCAACTGTGGTCGTAAGTAGAGGACCACGTATACTGAAGCAAGCGCAGTATAATCCTAATGAGCCACGCGGCCACCGATGCAGGGGCCACGTTGAAAAGTGTTTCTGTTTTGCAGGCTGCCCACCACTCAGAGCAAGCCAGCATCGGATCCTGAAAAGCAAAAGTATTCCAGAATAGCCCTTTGGGCAAATGTGTGTGTGTTTGTGTGTGTTTGTGTGGATCTGGGGTGTGTGGAAACACATCTCAGCAGCCCGGGGAACTTACTGATCACACTCTGCACTTTGGCAACCATGCTGCTGGGCGGGATGAACGCCGCCTTCTCGGAGAAGTCGCACGAGTACAGGACGTTGTCCACCGTGGTGCCGTGCTCGCTGTAGTTGAGCAGCTCGTAATGTTTGGTGTTCTGGGGAGGAAACTCCGCTGTCACTAAACAGCCGAGGTTGCGGGGGGGGGGGGAGAAGGGGGGAGGGAAACAGCCAGAGGAGGGATCTCAACGCCCGCCCGCCCACCCCAAAGCCCTGGGCGCCCACCTGGGCCCGCCCGCCCTCCTTCCGGCTCTCACCTCATCGTAGAAGATGCAGGCGTGTTTGCCCGAGACGTAGTTGCAGTGACCGTAGTTTGTAAGGCACACGTCCATGTCTGCTCCTGTCGAACGAAGGAGGAAATGGGGGGGTCAGAACCGCAATCTGGGGGTCCCCCACTACCAAAGGCCTTGGGGAGGGCGCTGGGTCAGGCCTTGGGTTGCTCCCCTCTGCGTTTATTGTACGTAAGTCTTGGATCAGCCGCTGCCTGGAGGGCGATTGTCCCAGCGAGGGGAGAAGGGGAAGCCCCAGGAACGCACCCCGAGTGGCAGCCAGAGAGCGGAGAGGCTCCTCCCCCACCGATGCCGCCCCCTCCCCACCCCCGCCAGCCGTGCAGAGAACCAGCCCTTGCCTGTCCCGATGTAGAGGGTCCTGTAGCACATGTTCACCGCGCTGCCCGAGCCCAGCAGTGGGTAGAAGACCGCCCGGGCCTGCACCTCTTTCCTCTGTCCTGGAAAGGCAGAAAGATGCCCTGGGTGCCAAGCGCCTCCCGTGCCAGAGACGGGATCGCTTGGTTTCTGTGTGAACGCCACTGGGAAGAATGGGGGTGGGCTTCGCTTTCCCACGAGACCCCTCCCCAGGGAAAAGAAGGCTCCCCTTTTTTAACCCTCCTTTCTGCCGACAGGCTGCTCCAGTGCCAAGGCAATGCTAGAATTCTCAGAAAACAGGGGGCAGGCAGAGCAGCAGCGCCCAGACTGGGGCTGGGGCGCCTCCTTTGCTGCATGGACAGTCCGGCACCTGTCGATGATGCTTTAATTCAGATTACAGTGGTACCTTGGTGCTCAACCGCTCGGAAACTTATTGAATTGGGCACTCAACGCATTTTGATGAGGAAATTTTGTTCTGCTACTTGCTGTTTGTTTTGATACTCAACGCACAAGCTAGAACTTGTTCCGGATGACTCACTACCTTACTCCTTATGGGAAAAAATTTGTTTGGTGCCGATTGTTTTTTTGGTGCTAATCGGGCCCTCCTGGAACCGATAACGGATTAGCGATGAGTATCGAGGTACCACTGTATCTACTTTGAGCAGGGGTGGACACCTAGCAGGCTCTCGGAAGTTGGCACTTTGAGAGGGCAACACTTGGAGACCGAAGGGTTGAGAGGGGGGAGGAGAGAGAGAGAGAAAGAAAGAGGGAGAGAGAGAAAAAGACAGAAAGACACACACAGAAAGACAAAGAGAGAAAAAGAGAGAGAGAGAGAGAGAGAAAGACACAGAGAGAAAAAGACAGAAAGACACAGAAGAGAGAAAGAGAGAGAGAAAGATACTGAGAGAGAGAGAGAAAGACACAGAGAGAAAAAGACAGAAAGACACAGAAGAGAGAAAGAGAGAGAGAAAGATACTGAGAGAGAGAGAGAAAGACACAGAGAGAGAAAAAGACAAAGACAGAGAGAGAGGAAGAGAGAGAGGGAGAGACATACAGAGAGAGAGAAAGACACAGAGGGAGTTGAGAGAGAAAGACATACACACAAAGAGAAAGAAATACACAGAGAGAAAAACACAGAAAGACACAGGAGAGAGAGGGAGAGAGAGAGAGAGGGAGGAGGGGGAGAGAAAGAGAGAGAGAAAAAGACAAAGACACAGAGAGGGAGAGAGGGAGAGAAAGACAGAGGGGGGGAGAGAGAGGCAGAGAAAGACATACACACAGAGAGAAAGACACAGAGGGAGGGGAGAGAGAAAGACACACACAAAGAGAAAGAAATACAGAGAGAGAAAAAGACAAAGACACACAGAGAGAGAGAGAGAGAGAGAGAGAAAAAGACACACACAGAGAAAGACACAGAGAGAAAGAGGGAGAAAAAGACAGAAAGACACACACAGAGAGAAAGGGAGACGGAGAGAGAGAGAGAGAGAGAGAGAGAGAGAGAGAGAGAGAGAGAGAGAGAGAGAGAGAGAAGAAACGGGGCACATGCAAGAGGATGCCAAGCCCCCCAATTCTCTTTTCAACCCCCCTCCCTCCCAGGGAAGGCCGAGGTTATGGCGGCACAGACTACCTTCGGCAGGGCTGCTGGCAGACGTGGGCGGGGGGCTTCCCATGTGGTCGGCTGCGGGCTGAGCTTTGGAGGCGAAGAGCTGGTGTATTCTCTGCAAGGCCAGGAACTTGATCAGTTTCTCATCCAGCATCCCGATCTCGATCTCTGCTAACAAAAAAGGCAAGGGGTGCAGGTGGGAAAGGGGGTCGGATCAGCGGAGAGCCTGGACCGGGGGCCCAGCAGCCGACCCCACAGCCTTCAAAGTGACCGGGAGCAACAAGCAGCCTCCGAAGGGAGCCCAAAGGGACTGCGTGCGCACCTAGCGGGCACAGGAAGGAACCAAGAGGTGGGCAGGCTGGCGGTTGGACTGCACGACCACCTTGAGAACGGGCCCGTTTCCTCTGCCAGCCGTCAACGGGTTTTTGTGTATCCGTGCAGTGCCCACTGCAAGCCCTAAAGGTGCTTTTCCAAGACATAACTGGACTTTCGTTTTCCTCTGAAGACGTTTTGCTTCTCCTCCCAGAAGCTTCTTCCGCTCTGACTGGATGGTGGGGAACGGAGGGATTTATACTCCTTGCAGAGAGCTGGTCATTTGCATCCTTTGAGAGAGTCCATGAGGCCACTTGGAGGTTTATCTGTGTCCTTAAGGTCACCTGAGTGGTGCAAATGGGTGTGGGGGCTTCTTGGAACTGCTGAAAGGAATTCCATACCCATTTGCACCACTCAGGTGACCCTGAGGACACAGGTCAGCCTCCAAGTGGCCTCAACAACTCCCTAAAAGAAGGCAAATGACCAGCTGTCTGCAAGGAGGATAAATCCTTCCATTCCCCTTGAAGACATTTCCCTTCTCAATCCAGAAGCTTCTTCACCTCTGACCGGATGGTGGGGAGTGGAAGGATTTATACTCCTTGCAGACATCCGGTCATTTGCATCCTTTTAGAGTCATCGAGGCCATTTGGAGGTTGACCTGTGTCCTTAAGCTCATTGAGTGCTGCAAATGGGTGTGGGGGCTTCTTGGAACTGTTGAAAGGATTGTGTTCCACACCCATTTGCACCACTCAGGTGACCCTGAGGACACAGCTCAGCCTCCAAGTGGCCTCAACGACTCCCTAAAAGAAAGCAAATGGGTTGAGAAGCTTCTTCAGCTCTGACAGGATGGTGGGGAGTGGAAGGATTTATACTGCTTGCAGACAGCTGGTCATTTGCATCCTTTTAGAGGGTCGTTGAGGCCACTTGGAGGTTTATACCTGTGTCCTCAAGGTCATCGGAGTAATGCAAATGGGGGTGGGGGCTTCTTGGAACTGCTGAAAGGACTGTGTGGTAGACTGGAATCAGAATAGCAGAGTTGGAAAGGACCTCTTGGTCATTTAGTCCAACCCCCTGCCCAAGCAGGAGACCCTACACCATTTCTGACAGATGGCAGTCCAGTCTCTTCTTGAAAACATCCAATGATGAAGCTTCCACAACGTCTGAAGGCAACTCCTGTTCCACTGGTTGATTGTTCTCACTGTCAGGAAATTTCTCCTTATTATTTCCAGGTTGAATCTCTCCTTGATCGGTTTCAATCTGTTATTTCTTGTCTGGTCTTTGGAAAATAGGTGGAACCCCCTCCACTCTGTGACCGCCCCTCAAATATTGAAAGACTGTTATCATGTCTCCCCTGGTCCTTCTCTTCACTAGACTGGCCATGCCCAGTTCCTGCAACCGTTCTTTGTGTGTTTTAGCCTCCGGTCCCCTGATCATCTTTTTGTTGCTCTTCTCTGCACTCTTTCCAGAATCTCAACATCTTTTTTATAGGATGGAGACCAAAACTGGATGCCGTATCCTAGCTGGGGTCTTACTAAGGCTTTGTAGAGTGGTATTAGTGCCTCACGCGATCTTGATTGACTCCTTGTTAATGCAATTTAGGATTGCCTTGGCTTTTTTGGCTGCCGCCGCACACGGTTGGCTCATCTTGAATTGATTTTCCACTAAGACTCCAAGATCCAAGATGTTTCATTGATTGCCCACTAAGACTCCAAGATATGTTGTATATAGTATGTTTAGGTGTGTGTCATGTATGCGTTTCACTTTTGAGAGCGGGCAACTAAATTTCATTTTTGATGTGTGCCGTTGTGCCCACAGTAAAAAAATGACAATAAAGGTCATCGTATCGTATCGTATCGTATCTTATCTTATATCTTATCTTATCTTATCTTTGCTGGTTTCGCCCAATCCATGTGTGTCCTTTTGGCTTTTTTTGCCTAAGTGTAAGACTTGACTTTTCTCTACGCTGAATTTCATTTTATTAAGATAGGGCCCAGAGGGCGGTTCAAACCAGCGGTGGTCCTGTCTGTCCAAAATGTGGACTTTGCTGCGTTCAAGAGTGGCCTAAAGAGTTGTCATCAGCAGCCCCTCTGCATTTGAAAGATCAAGGCCCCTCTTTTGAAGACAGCAAAGTCCCCATTTTGGACAGGCAGGACCGCTGTCTGTCCAAGAGGCCATCTA